TGCTGCCCACTGCTCCCCTCAGCAGTGTACTTTGTCACTCTGCCTGTTCTACTCTCTGCTCTAACTCTGGTGAATTCTCTCACCCTCCTGTGCTTCTGACTGTACCCAGTGCTTGTATAAATAAATAAATAAATCTTTTTTAAAAATATGATTATGATTTGCTTTCTTGTACAACTATGGAGGTAAATGTGGCATGAAACTTAAGGGAGTATTTTTTTCTCAATTATGTGTTACAACTTTAAAACAGAATATTATACAATCTTTACTGTTCAACGGAAAACATAACACTCTTTAGCATAGAACAAAGTAAGATTCTGGATTCCTATATTATATAGATTATGGTGTAAAACAACTTAAATAATATTCTTATATAAAGAAATTAAATAAATAGAAAGAGGAAATAAACTAGGAAACTCTATGTTTTCATATGTGCTATGTCTAAATAGAATCAATACACACTGTCAGTTCCTAGGTTGAAAATAGTTTCTTAGCAGGTATCACAAATGATTTCTATAACCTAAAGTTGCCAAACATGGACAATAAAATAAGGCATGAGATAAATCAACATGATCATTAGCACTTGAATACCCATCAAGCAATTTGTCCAAAATTATACAAAAGCCCTAAATAAGAACGTGTAAGCTGATCAAATAATGGTTCAGATCAAATAATAGTACAGATTTTCATGTTTAAATAATTGAAAGTATTTTTATAAAATTTTGCAATCATGGGATCATACTTGCATATTGTCCCCACTGAACCTCAAGTTTAAGAACACCAATTTTTCCACTAGAAAAAAGCCAAAAATTTCCAAGTTCTTAAACAAAGCCCCATTGTGGCACTATCATGCCTCTATTGTGAAGCATGGATCAGACCTATCTATTGTTTCAGACTACAATCAGTAAATATCAGTGGAAAATAGGCAAAAAATGGTCCTCATGTAAATAAGTGGAAATTAAAGGCATCTGGAAGAGAGGCAATATCTTCATTGTGTAACTTACATATACTGTGCTTAAAAAGCATGATAATAGGTCAGAAGGAGAAAAAGACATGTTAGGAGTCCATTATTTCAATCACTAGTCTCTTTCAATGTCATAAATAATCACAGCTATAATACTGAACAGCTCTGTTCATTGAAGAGAATAAAAGCCATGATGAAATCTCAACAGCCTTTCCTTTGTAGCCAGAAATCAACCACAAAGGCACAGGTCACACTGTGGCTATCGGTGGATGTGAGATGTTTTGCAAATGGATGGGGAAAATTATGGGAATCACATAGTGCTCTAAGAAGTGCTCCTGAAAAGACAGAAACAATGGAGAAGTATATGGCTAAGCATGAGGCTGGGCTTTCAAAGAGCTGAGTCTTTTGTCTCACTCCTCGCCAATTCTTACAGGAAAGACTCCAGTAGATACAAGGTTAGCTATTCATATGTCTATGTCTCCTGGCTAGATTTTGAGCTGCTTGGGTTAAGAATGATCTCCTAGCATGCCACTTCTTTATGATCTTTTGTTGAATTAAATGCAACTTCACATGCCAGTGTGAGTCACGCTGCCCTTCACAGAGAGGTCTAGATTTAGGAAGAGAGCATAGGATGAGTGCTTTGAAATGACAGAAGTCTGCTGATCTCAGCGACAGCTTCACTTCTTGTCCCTGACTCCATATCCTCAGAAATGAGTTGTCTGAGCTGGGGAAACACATAAATAGCATGAAGCTGATTTGTCTTGAAATTGATATATCTATTTAAATACAGCTTAATTTTATTAGCCTATTAATTACAATTTTTGACCATGGAAGATACCATGTAGAGCAATGCCAAGCTGGTCTGGATAGTAAAATTAGGGAAATATTGAAAACATAGTCATCTTCAACTCTTTCATCTCAGGAAACCTAATAAACACTGAAGAAAATAATTTTGAGATAAAAATCTGATCCTTGTGGATACAGCACTTTAGTACAAGTTGGGTTTCCAAACAACTGTAAGGTCTTACAGCTAACGATTTCAGTGATTTATCAGTTACACTTTCAAATTAATCTGGGATCAAATAAAAAATGACAGGGTTAGAGTAGCAAAAAGGAAAGAAGTGATTGTCTGTATAGCTACAGCATACTGATACACATTTTCTGAATTATTTAAAAAATTTATCATACCAGTCTAGTTCTAGCCATGCATCCCCCCTTCAGACTGTCTAGTAAACAGACATTTTATACTGTATTCAAGAAGATGCATGTCCTCATTAGAACTATTTTTCAGTCAATTTCTGTTGTGTCAACTCATGATTAGCCACACTAATGAACAGAAGTAATGGCACAGAAAATTCTATGTGGAGAAATCCAAATCAATTTATTTTTGGCATCAACATGCTTTCTTTAATTTTACAGCAGATTTACCATCACCCAAATTGTTTTACTCACATTTACTTGAAACCATTATATTTTCCCAAAGCCTCTATTTTAGTGATTTAAAAAAGTGGAAAGCTCTGACTAGTGGAAGAAAAATTACATGACTTGAAAACTTGGTCACAGCTAACCCAGAAGGTAGATGAGCTCTATATGAATCATTACTTGATTTTTCCTAGAAGCAAATTTGCAGATACAAATATTTATGTTTGTGTGTGTAAATATGTACCTATATTTATGCATGTATATACACATCTATGTAGATATGTAGGTGGTTTTGTGCTGAGAAATTATGTCATTTTTATCCTGAAGGGTATTATGAAATGGTAATTAATATTTCTTGAGTGGTATTTTAATTTCTGTATATTTTGTGGCACATTCTATAGAAATGGATGCACAGTGCAATTTTATTTTTCTTTTAGATTTATTTTTATTTATACAAGAACTGGGGTACAGGCCAGAGGCATGGGAAAGTGAGAGGATTCACCAGAGACAGAGTGGGAAGCAGAACAGGCAATCAAAGACACTGCTGAGGGGAGCAGCAGGCGAGGCAGGAGAGGTCTGCTGAGCCATGTGGGTATCTCCCTGGCTGGCCGGGAATAGAACCCGTGCTGCAGAGGCTGCAGACAGCTTCACAGCACGGTGCTCAAAATGCAGCGCCACCAGGGAGACCCACAGTGCAATTTTAAATGAGTAAGGTAAAATATTATAAACATCAATGTAAAAAGTGGAATATTTTAAGGTCACCTTTTTTTACTCTTCTCATAAAATATGCAAATACAATCAACGTATAGAAATATTGTATCAATGTCCACATGCCAAAACTAAATATATTTAAAATTATAACTATTCATAAAAAGTATTCCCAATGGTTTTATGTTCAACAGTTCTATCAGGTTTTGATTATAATATTTAATGGAAATTATATTGGAATCAGAGAAAACTAGAAGCATCAGCAATGAACACATCTCAAGTCAACTTTATCCTAGTGATGCATTGTCTTATCTAGAGCTAGATGAGAACAGCACAATTTTTCTTACTCCTCAGTATGGTCTACAAATGCGTTGGTTCATATGACTCAAAACCAAAAAGAAGTAGAAAACAAACTTTCCTCAATTAAAATTTTCCACTTTTTAATATATAACTTTCTCACATATATTTATCAAATTTCTATGCTCAACCAATCAAAACTCATGGTATGAATATCAATTATAGTTTCATTAAAAAAAAAAAAACAAAACCACAGAGTCTGATAATCTAGGAGATATTATTTTTAAACATAGAAACAAAGCTGACAGCTGTTTCTAATGTTCATTCAAGTAAATATTTATTTTTACAGCATCAACTTCAAAGCCCTATTATTAAGCCATCATTCCATTTTAGGGCAATCATATGCACAAACAGTACCACATAGTAGTTAGCAAACAGGCTCAAGACTCAGACTGCCTGGGTTCAAATCCTGACTCTGCATCTTTGTAGAGACATGGCTTTGCATGTCTTCAAGGTCTCACCTTCCTCACCTACCTGCCAGAGTTAGTGTGAAAATTAAACAAATATATTGAATACTTTGAATAGTAACTGATACAGGGCAATATAAACATCAGCTATTATATCATAATATAATATATAATATAATATATAATACAATATATTATATATTATTATATATTATATAATATATAATTTATTATATAATAATATATAATATATTATATATTATATTATAATAATATATTATAATATTATATAATGATATTATATAATATATAATACATATAATACATTATATACATTATATACATATAATGATATCTCTGATATCATTATTGGCATATTAATAGATTAAAAAAGGTTTTGTAAAATTAAAGAAAATCTAAGAGAATATCAGGATTTGTAAGTTTCCTATAGCAAACTTTTATTTTTTTATTTTTAACAAGAGATAAATTGCTGTTCAACACATTCTCTCCTTTTCTCTCTCTCTCACACACACACTCACACACACACACACACCACACACACAGAGATAAAAAATCTAAAGCAACTTTATTGTAACTGGATGCACCATATCTGGCAAATTTAAGTATTAACATCCATTTCATATATAACTCTGATTTTTTCAAGGTTTATAATTCTGCCATAATAATTTATTTCCCAAGAAAGCTTGTGGATATAATCTAGTCTCTAGGTCATTATTTTCTCATTACCTGTCTCTTAGTGCATTTGGTTTGATTTATTAATTACCAATCAAAATTACTTTTTAAAAATTTTAAATGCAGATTCTGCAAATAAATACACTGGATAATTATCTGATTACACTTGAACATGTTTGAAAACTGGAAGAAGTGATTTGTGTCAACTACTAAAAATGAGTATGTAAAATTTCAGCAGTCCAAATTGGTTATCTAAGATACATTTCTAAAGGAAAAGATAATCATGCCTAACAAACTTATTTTAAACATATTATACTGCAATGAAAGTAATTATTACATGAATGTTCCCATTCACAAAAACTCTGTTTAGTATTTTTAACTCCAATCAGACATTTAAACACAGTGATTATAACAAAGTAACAGATTTTAATTTAAAATAATTAGATTCTTACCCTGATCAAAGGCTTTTCCTGGACTCCAAGTGCGGAAATAATCATCCTAAGGGGGAAAATAATGTGAATTGAGTGTATATGAGTAAATAAAAAGTAGACATTCAAATAAAATCTAAAATAAAATGTGAAATACAGAAGTTGAATACAAACCTCTACTTCCTGCAATGGCAAGCAGCAAATTATAAAAAAATAAATAAATAAAAAAGGAACAAGAGAAAAACAATAGTTATCACAAGGGAACACATTGTTTACATGCTACAGAAATGTCTTTCAATATTATATTCATTTTCGGGGTAAGTTGATGTTGACTATGATTTAACCATTTTTTGGTTGCCACTTCACCTAAATATGATAATGCAATACTTTATATTGCAATTCAATGTGCAATATGACATGCAGATAATGACCCTAATCTAATAAGCTATAAAAGTATCTTACCAGTTTTCAATTATACAACTTCATTTTCCACTAGCACAATGGTAAATAGAACCATTAAAACAATGGAAGAAATACCAACTGATTCTGCAGTAGAGCGTACAGTATATATATACTTTATGCAAATGACTCACTTGTTAATATCTAAGTGGTTCATCAAAATACAATTGGTAGTTTGAAAAAAATGCACACCTGATTAAATCTGGCTACAGGTTATATCTTGGATATGAAAAAGAATCATTACAATCTATTTACCATATACTTAGTAAATACAGCTATATAATACTAAAGTGGGACAATGTATACTAAAAGTTTTTAATAAGCCAACTCAAATTGACTAACTTTATTTTAATTACTGCTTTTACTACACTAAAAATCTTGCAAAAACACCTCATACATATCATGTTTTATGATAAATGGGATCTATTTGTTCAAATTAATAAACTATTTTCACTATAGTAAGAAAAAGCTGCCTGTGATGGTGCATTCTTAATTTAAGCATTCCTATTCGATAGTCTTCAAATCACTAAAGTTAGTTTGCTGTAAAGCCACAAAACATAGGGAATCCAAAAAAATCACAGAGATTCCTTGACTCTTTTTCCAAAACTCTTTGCTAATATTCTCTGATATACAAAACAGGAAAAGTGGTGCATATTTTTTTTTAAAGATTTATTTATTTATTTATACAAGCACTGGGTACAGTCAGAAGCGCGGGAGGGTGAGAGAATTCACCAGAGCCAGAGCGGGGAGCAGAGCAGGCAGACTGACAAAATACACTGCTGAGGGTAGCAGCGTGCGTGGCAGGAGAGGTCTGTTGCGCCATGTGAGACCCTCACTGGCGGCTGGGGATCGAACTGGTGCTGTAGAGGCTGCGGGCAGCTTCGCAGCCCAGCGCTCAACCGCTGCACCACCAGGGGAGACCCATTTGTGGTACACATTTTAATTATGGGAGTAAAAACTCTTCTCTATATAAAAAATTAAGTTGTCACAAATGTTTTTCCTTATTGTGAGTAATCATTCATCATTGTTCTGCAAATGCCCTCACTAACTTCAAATGAGAGGAAAGGGAAAAAAAAAAAACCAGAAAAACATCTCTGTCAGTTTTGCATTTATGTTGAGATAGGATTATATTAGGAGAGGGGTGAGTTATGACAACCCATGTGAATAGGTCCTGCACTGAAATATTAGCTAGGATCAAATTGAGGGAGGGTAATACCTTGTAAAATTAAATAAATCCTGATTTATATCTTTTAACAAATCTTTAAAGTAAACAATTGTAGCATGATAGAATTCTTGGAAAACTAAGTTTTCAAAGCAAATTAAATTATTCCACACAGTTCCAAAACTTTAACTTAGTATCATAACACACTCATTTAATAACATTGACTTTTTGAAATTATATATTATTGCTTGATGACAATGACAATTATTCATTCCAAACATGAACAGCACCTAACTAGGATAGATATGGAAACACGAATACTTAATTTTAAGCCTGGCTTTTACTTTTTAGTTGTATCACCTTAGAAGAGTTGATGTTCTAAACTTCAGATCATGTGATTAAAGTTGATAATACCCTATCTATCTGGTAAGGCTACTATAGGGATTGGTTATCAAAATACAAACCATCACATATTATTTGGACAAAAGAAGAGGCTAAAACATACTTGCTAACGAAAAGGACCATGGTCATCTCAGTATATTTGGGCAACATCAGTATAGACTAGCTCTCACTACTGCTGACAAAGTCCTTGGTTGTTTTTGTATTTTTTTCAAGAAGCATGGACTCTTCATAATATTTTTTAAAGTGATGTCCAAAAACTGCCTCTCACACCAATGTCAAATATTAGATGCAATGAACTTTCTAAAAGCCACATTTACAGCTATAGTTAGTACAACAAAGGCACGTGTTTCTGCCATCACCTTAGACTATTCTGAAGTGTTATAATTACCAACAGCATCACCCAAGAAAAATTGGGTAAACTATATTGCAATAGTGACTCCCTCCATATAAAATATCACAGAACTCTAGAAAGATTGGATTTGATGTACAACTGACATTGTTAGCAATGAAATCTGATAACCAGAAACAACATTTGACACAATGTTTGCAATACTCAAAATAGGTACAGATTATCAACAATAAAGTGGACATATCTTTAAAAAGAATATGGTGGTAAAATCTAAACTCATCCACATTTAATGAGCTTCATCAGAATAATTATGTTGGGTTATTTTGAAACCATAGCTATATGATAATCTATAAACATAATGTAAAACAGGAGCCTGGTTCTTTGGGCTACATCAAGGACAATGTGGACATCTGGCATCTTGGGATCTGATACAGTATGGAAAAGCAAAATAGTTTGCCTATTGACTATTTTTAGATTTTTTGTGTGTGTTCTCATGTTCCTAGACATTTTTTTTTTTCTGAAAATGGATTCAACTCATTAAATCTTAGGAATTTTGCCAGGATGAGAAATAAAACTATGTTCACATAAGTGTTCATTCAAGCACAATTTCTTTTGTCTCAAAAAGCTTTGTGTGAATACTGGTTGTTTTCAGGCTTCAATTAGATTCAAAATAAGTCAACCAGGAATTTCGAAAATAATTGCAAGAAATATCCCCAATCAGAAAAATTTGGGTTCAAATGACAGTAACTAAGCCTTACATTTCTAAAAGGCAAAGCTGGATCTTGTCACTCATGTTGCAAAGTTTACAGTGGTGAATTGGAGTGGCTGCAAGAATTTCACACTGTACCTGTTCCAATTTCTTATATTTAAAAGAATGATGTTTGCTAATTTTCCAGAAGACAGTCTGCATAAAATTTTTGATTTGTGTATTATTGTTTTAAACATTTTCATCATAGTTTTAATTCTCTAATAAATATAAATGAAATGCATATTTAAAGTTGAGCTCAGTTTCTCCATGTTGGCGTTATAGATATTTAAGGCAGACAATTCTTTATGGAATTGGGAGGCAAGGGCAGGACTGTGCATTGCAGCTATTTAGCAGCTTCTCTGGTCTCTACCCTTAAGATACCAATGATGGGCATCCCTCCCTTGACCTCTCACTAGGTGTGACAAACAGAAATGTCACCAAATATTGCCTATCATCCCTTGGGAAGGAAAATCACCTACAGGAGGGCCACTAATGTAAGATTATTGGAAAATACAGAAAGACAAATGAATCAAAAGATCTTATCACAAAGGACGCTAGCAGCAACAGATTTTCCTCCAGGAATGTTTTATAATAGCAAAATAATATTATATATCCAATTATATATCCAATTTTATGGCCAAGTTATTTGTGTAATACTTTATTGAGAACATTTTATAATTCTATTAAAACCTTTTGTCAAAATATTTAATGACTGCCTAATATCGTTTAGTGTTGATTGACCATATTTTAGTAAACTTTTTATTTCTGTTTTCATATTGCTTATAATATTTTGCTGTAATAAGTGACTCATACATAAATGTCTAAGTATCTATTTTTCATAAACATCAGTTATTAGTTTCGGAAGGTAATTAGTGGGTATAAATACCATGGCCAAGTAGAGAAATTAGTCTCCTATGACAAGAAAAAAAGGCTTTGTTCAGATGAAGTAGATCAGAAGAATAAGTTTATATCCAAAGTTCAATTGTTTGATTCACTCATTCACTGCTACATCTGTAATGATAAATTCTCCCATTGCCTGAAGGAAAAACATGGATTGGCAAACTAGGTCAGGGATTAGTTAAGCATCCTGGCATTGGGAGAATCTTGATGCTCAAAAACTCTACAACAGATGAACATACAAAGGGAAATAGGCACCTTTAAGACACAGAAACTGTGTGACATAATTATAACATGAGACATAAAACAATCCTTTAGATGACACATTGTAAAAATAAAAGAGTGTTAAACAGTGATGATTTACAATGGTGGATACTTCTGATATAACACACTCACATTCTGAAAATATGATGTCTAATTCAGGGTGGTATGTAGAATTTTATGAAAATCTATATAGCAAAATAGTTTAGGTGGTGATATACAGACCTCTGCCTTCTCTGTCATAAGTATATAATCAGAATAGCTAGGATTTTAATACTGCAACTTAGTATATTGTTATCCATTTGAAATATATACACATGTACCACATTTGTTGATGAATATATATATATGCTGATGTATGTAAATATCTATGTGTGTGTTTATTTATTTTTAAATATTTATTTATTTATTTATACAAGAACAGGGGTACAGGCCAGATTTGAGGGAGGGTGAGAGGATTCACCAGAGACAGAGCAGGAAACAGAACACGCAGACTGACGAAATACACTGCTGAGGGGAGCAGAAGGTGCAACAGGAGAAGTCTGCCACGCCCTGTTGGACCCTCTCCGGCTGGCCAGGATTGCACCGGCACTTCAGAGGCTGTGGACAGCTTCACAGCGGCAGCCGCCTGTGCCACCAGGGGAGGCCCATGTGTGTATTTAAATAGATGGGTATATTGCTAAGATATTTCATTAGTGTCTGTCTATAACATTTAAATTATAACAAATGAACTAAATAGTTTAGTTATATGAGACATCTCACATATAGGTACTTGACTGTGTGGTGGACTCT